GCGGAGAGGCGCCTGCGCAATGGGACACTCGGGTAAAGCGCCCGGGTCCATGTGGCGTCGTGGCTGTCCCCCAGGCCGTTGACGCCTGTTAAAAGTTGAGGCCTCTTGGAAACTATTTCTGGGCTACAAGGAGAAGCTCGGCCACTTGCACTTCCCGGAAGTACTCTAAAACCCATATAGGAAGCCAGATATGGCGGCACACACCTGTAACCCCTGTACCCTGGGAGGCTGAGGCAGGAGGATCACAAACTTGAGCCCAACCTGGACAGCTTAGTGAATCAGCGAGACCCTGACTTAAAATGAAATTAAAACAAACAAACACAAAAAACAACGGGCTGGGGACGTAGCTCAGTGCAAAGGACTTGAGTTCAATCTCCAGCCCAGCAATAAGTGAAACACAAGCTGGCCTCCACTCTTGGGGTTGGCCAATCTGAGCCCCTTCCTCCAGCTACCTATTTTCCTTGTCAAGGGTGGGCTTGATCCTTCTCTCGTCCCAGTGACAGCTTTTTCCTGTAAATCCGTGCTTCAGTCCTGATTTCATTCCGACTGGAAGCAGTGGCCAGGCCAGCCTGCCCACCCTCGGTGCAGCAGGACACGGCCGGGGCCAGGCCAGCGCCTCCGGAAGTCAGAAAGACTTCTGTGGCCCCATTCTTGGCAGGCAGGGTGACAGCCTCGCGGGAACCAGGCAGGAGGCACCATGGGACAGGGGACAAACTCCTGGGCTTCAGCCCGTTCCTCACGGAGAGGGTGACTTCCACTTCCCGGCAACGGCTACACAGGGAAACCGCGTTCTTTTCCTCCACGGGTGACCACAGCAGAGCGTCCCGTCCCCGTCCTTCCTCAAACTTGGCCCCCAAGTCCACACAGGCAGGGTGGGCAGCCCCAGCCACCTTGCCGGTGTCCCCCAGGCCCGGGCACCCCTCTCACCCCCACAGCCCTCCATGAGGCTACCCCCGACCCACAAGGCCAGGCCAGGGCTGACAGTGACCGGCAGACCTGAACCCACACCAGCACCCCAGAAACATGGCCCCCAGTCTGACCCCTTCCCGGGAGCCTGCCAGCTGCCCAAGCGGAGTCCTCTCCTCTTCCCTTCAGGTGAAGCAGGTCTTGTGAACTCCTTCAGTGCTGCTTTGTGACAGGCTCTCACTATGGAGCCCAGGCTGGCCTTTATCTTAGTGCGATCCTCCTGCCTCAGCCTCCCAGGTGCTGGGATCACAGGCCTGTGCCACTGTGCCTTGCTAGTCATACCTTCATCATCACTGAAGCAAAAGCCGCACTGGCCAGTGACATCTGGGATGACCGAGCTCCAGGTGGAGTACAGCTGTGGCCACAGCAGGACCAAGCCTGTGGGCCGGAGCTCACGCCTTGGGCCTCTCGGGCCCCGCCCCACCTTGCACAGGTGTTGCAAGGTCTGTAGCACCCAGGTGACTCCTGTGTGCAGCTGCAGCCTGTGGTCAGCTCTAAGGAGTTGGCCCCAAGCCAGGGGGAATGGAGACCTGGTGGGCTCAGGGGCAAAGACCTCAAGGCAGGGATGGTCACTGGGGCACTGGAACGTGTGTCCAAGGAACTCAATGGGGCTTTTCCCCGTACCAAGGATTAAACCCAGAACCTCACTAGGCCACACCCCCACTCCTGTATTTTGAGACAGGTTCTAAATTATCCAGGTGGTACTCAAACTTGAAATCCTCCTGTCTCAGCCTCCTGTGGTTCAGGGGATCACCAGTGTGCACCACCATATGCGGCTATAACAATGTTTTTAAATTCATCGCAATCTTACATGACCCTTGGGAAAGTGGTCCCTAGATCTTGGGTATGGGCCAAAGACAACCATGAAGTAGGCCACTTTACAAAACGGCCGTTTCATTTTAAGCAGCAGATGTGCACGCCGCTGATAGGAGCGCAGGTCGCCTCCGCCAGCCACCTGTGGCCCAGACACTGGCGGTCTCCTGACCACGCCACAGTCGTGAACTCGGCATCTCTCCACACCGGACACACAGAGCTTGACACTCTCACCAAACTCCCGGTTTCTGCGTTTGTCAAACGACCCCGGTAGGGTCAAGAGAAGTGTGGAACGCACTGGAGCGACCGCCCGAACTACCTGCATTAAAGCACCGAACACGGATGGCCTCAGGGACCAGTGCGTGCAGTAAGTCACATTCTGACTTAGTTGTCAGGAGCAAACCCTTCCTTAGGCACTGGGGATGGAAGCCAGCACTGAGCGTCATCCCCAGCTCCTCTCATTTTTTATTTGGAGAGTGTCTCGCCAAGTTGGGGGGCTGGGCTGGAAGTCGCGGTGTTCCTGCCTCAGCCTCCCCTGGCCCGGCGGCAGCAGTAACAGCAGGTCCACGGCGCTCTGGGCTAAGCCCTGGGGTCCAGCGCGTCCGGCGGGGCTCACGGGCGGTCCGCGCACGCGCACGGGGTGAGCGCATCGTGCAGCCGCTGCGCCGCCAGCTCCACCATCTCCCGCAGCGACTCGTCGTCCTCGCTGCCCTCCTCGCACTCCACGCTCTGCAAGGCAGCATCGGGGCCAGAGTTACTCACTGTACTTGGCACGGGGTGGGGCAGGGGGCGGAACGCTCCATGATGGGACCAGGGAGACCCTGCGACCAACGGAATCTGGAGCTGTGTCTACTTCAAAGCCCCCTTTTGGTATTTTCCGTTTGGTGTCTTGAGACAGGGACTTGCTGTGTGGTTCAGGCTGGCCTTGGACTCACAGCGATCCTCCTGCCTCAGCCTCGAGAGTGCTGGGATGACAGGTGTGTGCCACCGCACCCGGCTCCTGTTTTGGTGTTTTGAGACACCGTCTCACTATGTAGCCCAAACTGGCCTCAAACTAGTGTACATCCTCCTGCCTCAGCCTCCTGAGTGCTGGGATGACAGGTGGGTGTCACCACGCCAGGCAAGGCTTCACCTTCTGAGGCCTTTTTATGTGTCTCACCGACCTTCCCTGCACAAAGAGCAGAGCACGTACAGTGGACCCTAGACTTGTGAACTCGATTGGTTCCCAGGGCCGGTTGTGACTAAGTCAGTAAGGCTGAGATCCGGACCTTTGCCTGGGCACACGCTACAGAGAAGCAGAGGCAGGGGAGTCTCCTATTAACCTAATCACCCTGGCTGTCGTAGGGTCCACTGTACGTAGCTCCCACTTCCCCACAGCACCTGGAGATGCACTTCAGACCCACGGCTCCTGGACCAGTGGTGTGAACACCGCAGCATGGCTGCCTGCTCTCCCTGGTCAGCTGCTAGTCCCCAGCTCGCCTCCCTCCTTACTGGGGGTCAGTCTAGGCCCCTCACTGCACCCAACTCAAAACCTTGCAGGACATGTTTACAGTGGAAGCCAGCTGCTCAGAACTAGCCGCATCTCCACAAGCGGCCCCGTTTGCTCGCCTGCACACCCACCCTCGGGAGGCTGAGGCAGGGTGATCGCCTGGGTTCGAGGCCAGCCTGGGCTGCACAGTGAGTGCAGGTCTCCGGCTGTGCAAGGAGGAGGCACTAACTTACCCTCTGCAATCCCAACTCCAGGACTGGCTCCAAGCCTGAAAGCCAGGGTGTGGAACCTGTGCCCCGGCCACTGTAGCAGAGGCCAAACACAGCGGGGACGGGGACAGGGACGTGTGGGGCACAGGGAGGCTCTGTGTGACGTGCAAGAGTGGGTGAGACACCGAGCTGCAAAGCACAGGGGCAGGTGCGGTGGCAGCAGCGCAGCACATACCCGGGTGTCCAAGTTAACGTTGGCCGTTTTGCCATCCACGGTGACACTGAGGATGGAGCCATCCTTCACACTCACGCAGTCTTCGCCAAATATGTCCCTGCAGGTCAGGCAGACACGTTAGTCCAGCTGCCGTGGGGGGGCGGGGATCAAGGCGACAACCGGTCGCAGCCCCCAAGTCCAGCACCTGAGCCTGCTCCTAAGATAACTTCCTATCCACCCTCAGCTTCCACGGTCCAGACTGCTCCCTGGGGTGCAGGGACTTTCGATCCTCCTGCCTCAGCCTCCCGGGACTGGGATGACAGGCGTGCCAGGCCAGGTGTGATGGCTGGCCTGTGTTTGTAATCCCAGGCACTTGGAAGGCTGAGGCAGGAGAAGCATCATGAATTTGAGTCTCACTGGGGTGATTTAGTGAGACCCTGCCTCAAGATAAAATTCTGAGAAGGGCAGGGCTGAAGCTCAAGCCCTAGTGCTGAGAGCAAGAAGGGCAGCAGCCATCGGTCGACAGGAACGTGGGAGACCCGTTCCACCCTAGATTTTCCTCAGAAAATGCCCACATTGAGGCTTAGCGAGGACTTGGGAAGAGGAAGGAATCAGCACCGGTGGTGGACAGTACTAAGATCCTGGTATTTCACAGGCAGACTTCCTGTCCATAGGAAGAATTCACATCAGAAGCAAACATGGAAGGGTATTCGTTCTTCCAGGCACAGTGCCACCGGCGGAGACGCTGGCCCTGTCCCTGCTGACTGCTGTGATGCTTTGACCAGCCACCAAGGTCCACTGTCCCTGGAAGCAGCCAAGTGTGAATGGGAAGGCGGCAGTGTCACCTGCGTCCACTCCTGATGGAAAGCCAGGCACCCACCGGGCACGGTGGCGCACACCTGTCATCCCAGTTCTCGGGAGGCTGAGGCAGGAGGATCCCAAGGTCAAGGCCAGCTGGGCAGCTTAGTGACTCAGCAAAACCCTGGCTCAAGAAATAAAAAAGGGCCCAGGATGCAGCAGGCGCGCACAGCACTCACTGCAGCATGGTCTCCAGGCGCTTGCTGTACACGTGCGTCTCCAGCTTCTTCGAAACCTTCTGAGCCGCACCTGGGGAGAAGGGTGGAGTTCAGTTTCCCAGTTCTTACTCAGGACTTCCACACCACCGCTTGGTCCCGCTGTCACGATGACCAGCATCTAAGGCGACAGAGCACACATCCCCACGTCTGCCTGTGAAGGACGAACTCCTCGATCTTATTAAAGAACCACAAAATGACAAAGATTATTTTATTTATTTTTTAAGACAGTCTCACTATGTAGCCCAGGCTGTCCCGGAACTTGCGGTGATCCCCTGCCTCAACCTCCCAAGTGCTGGATGACAGGCGTGCGCCACCACACCTGGCATTGTGTCTCTGGTGAGGGGACACAGGAATTCACAATAGTGCTAAACCCATCCCGGATGTAAACGAAAGTTGTTTCCAGACGGAAGCATCAGGAAGTTATGAAATAATGACTTTATATCTGACTCCAGTCAGCCCTCCTTATCTGTGACAATAAGGGTCACACTTCACCAAAAAGATGACTATTATACTGGGCATGGTGGTGCACAGATAAAATCCTGGCAATCGGGAGACTGGGGCAAGAGGATCGCTATGAATTTGAGGTCAGCCTGGGCTACATAGTAAGGCTGTATCTCCAAAATGCAAAAATAAAATAAAATAAATAAAAGTAATGCAAAAAACAAAAAAAGCCTATGGAAGATATGTATTATATATATAGATTTTGGGGGGGTACCAGGGATCAAACTTGGGTCCTTGCACTTGCAAGGCAGGCGGCAGAACCACTGAGCTAAATCCCCAGCCCAAGATATGTATTATATATATAGATTTTGGGGGGGTACCAGGGATCAAACTTGGGTCCTTGCACTTGCAAGGCAGGCGGCAGAACCACTGAGCTAAATCCCCAGCCCAAGATATGTATTATATTGAACTATGCACAAATATCGTTCAGCTGTTAAAAAAAATACCCACAAAATATTTTCACTAGTGTTTTCCTTGGGTTGAAAATCGTCCTGTAGACAGAAGCCATCTAGTCAAGGTCAGACGGCAGCCCAGGTTCCTAACAGGCCCGCCGGCTCGATTCAGTATTTCAGTGTTCTGCTTCCATTCTGTGTGGTGCTGGGGATCGAACCGCCGAGCTACATCCGGGCCCTGCTGCCTCCCTGAAGCTGCTGCTGAAAGGCTTCATCTCCACGCCAGCGGCGACCCGGCTTTTCACAGCCGCGGGAAGGCCCAGGCGGTAGGGATGTGCTCATGATACACAGTTCTGTACGCATTTCAGAGATCGTACAGAAATAAAGGGATCCGATTGTAAGCTCTCACTCGGGACTCCGCTGCGTTTCAGTTCCCAGACCCGGGCGAAGGGAGGAACTGCGTACTTTTCCTTATCTTCGGGTTGGACTGCACCTCGAGGATCACGGTGGTCACGGTGTCCGCGTACATGTCGTTGGACGGGTTCGCCAGCCACTGCGGAGAGGGTTAGGGTTGGGCTGGGTCAGGGTGGAGCTGCCGGGGCTGGGCAGCGACGCTGGACTTCCCTAGTTTGCTTCTCGTCACACGGGTAAGATGTCCTAAGCTTTTTCTTTGTGCCAAACAGTTTTATGTCCTTATCTTTTAATTCTCCTGAATAGCACAACCTAGCTCATTTTATAAAAGTGAAAACTAACTCAAAAGTAGCTTGCAGGGGAGAACTGCTGATGGAGATTCAAACTCGAATTCCTATTACTGTGCCAGGCCCGTCAGCAGCAGGGCAGGAGGGTGGACTACCCGGCCTCGTCTCCCTCCACCCACCCGCTGGCTTTGGCTCTTGTCCCTCACTGAGCGGCTTCCCCCGCTTTTTAAATACTGCCTTCTGCTCCTGCCATGAAGCACACGGGCCCCGCCACTCTTCCACGAGCCCAGTGCCCCCCAAAGCTCCGGCGCCTCTGCGTCGGGATGAGACCAGGCCACGCTTCAGGGACCGGCGCCCCAGCACTGCCACACGATACGCACAGGGGGCACCTGGAAACGCAGAATCTTCTGATTTTTTTTTTTTTTGGTACTGGGGATCAAACTTGGGACTTTGTGCTTGCAAGGCAGGCGGCAGAACCACTGAGTTGAATCCCCAGCCCTCTTTGATAGTCTGACTCTGGAAGCACAAATACAGTCTCTACGAGGGCTCGGTGGAAGGAGTGCAGAAAGGCCTACAGACCCCGCTTCCTCCGAGCAACTACACATCATCATTGGTGAGTTCACACCAGAGGTCACTCCTCCTCCTAACACTTCCTTTACTAGCTGTTACCATTTGGAATCTAATTTCAGCTTAAATCACAGAACTGTGGTGGGACTAAACCTGACACATCTTTATCTGTTTAAGACAAAGCCTCGCTATGTAGCCCAGGCTGGCCTCAACCCTCCTGCCTCAGCCTCCGAGTGCTGGGATCACAGGCGTGCGCCATCACACCTGGCGTGCATGTGAACTTTTTTGAGACTCTCTTAAACGGTCTTCTCTTACCTCTAGTATTACCATGCCTGGTTCCTGTATTACGGTAATATTTCTGAATACTTTCAAAGCAGGTTTTTCTTGAATTTCTAATTCTTCTACGTCACCTGAACAAAATAAGAGAGAATATCGTTACAAGATGCGTATCATTTCCTTAAAATAGCTCAGAGGCATAATTATTCATGTGTTCAGAGAGAGCTGGACTAAAGCCGCTGCACAATGGAAGAATCCACAATGGAAGAATCCGTAACTCACTCCCTTGGGCAGGGAGCTGCTTCGAGGCTGGGTAGGTTTACGCTAACGGCTCGAGGCCCCGGAATACAGGATGGGTCATGGAGAGTTGCGCCATGCGCACCTGGGGCGTCTGCGGGAAACAGTTGGGGCTCAGGACCGTCCACGGCCCTCTCCGGCACTCCCTGTGGGACTCTCAGCCTCTGCTAAGCAGCCAGCTGTGCCGTGGCCCCCGCCTTCCGCCTGCCTCAGTCTAATCTCGGCCCAGGGGAAGATCAGCCTCCTCCGGCGGCCCAGTCCTCTAATTGGTCACTCAGACGCATTTTATGAGCTTTCTGTTACTGTCTGTGGTTCTAACGAGCAGGGATTCTCCCCGACTATCTCACCGCAGCAGTTTATGGAAGAACATCTTAACCCCAGGGTGCTCTCCCTTAATTAGAAGGTACACTGCCTTTAGTCACTAGCCCTCCTTATGTTAAGACCTAAAGATCTTTATTAAAATGGCAAAACCAGCGGCTGGAATTTAGCTCAGTGGTTCCACTGCCTGGCTCACAAGCACAAGGACCCAAGTTCGATCCCTGGTACACACCCAAAAAAATAACCTATTTGGGCTGGGGATTTGTCTTGTGGCTCTGCCACCTGCCTTGCAAGCACAGGGGCCCCAGG